TGACAGACGCCATGTTAGCTACCCAACCATCTAACACGATAGACCTAAGTCTATAATAAATCTAAGATAGTCTACTATCGATGTCATATTCATGAGCGAATTGAGCGTAGGTTATAGGGAGTACAGTCGTGCTGGTCTTTGCAGCTTTAGATACTGACTAAGACAAGGTACTACGGATACGGGGTGCTTGTAGTTGATCCCAAGATTAACTATCAGTTCATAATACAAAACAGCTTCTGTTTTGTTTATTGCGAAGATAGGGTGATGATTCCAGGTGTGCACCAGGTTGACGCAAAGATAGTTAGATGCTGAGCATGATGGAAAAAAGCTGTCAAGTGTGGCCGAGACCTGACCTATCAGACAACTTGGAAGGACTGTTACAGATGCTCATTTCTCATTATATGTATATAATTCCAATGCCTTGGTCGAGTTGTTGGGTCGGTTGCTGCGCTGCCGCCCCCTAGCTTTTCCCGACGATATTTTCAACTTAGCATCGTCAAAACACCACATACGACCATACCCATTGGAAAACTCGGGATCCCGTCCGCTCTCCCATAGATAAGCCAATGAGGGCCGGATTAGTAGTTGGGTCGGTGACGACCAGCGAATACCTGGTGTTGTATGTTTTTGAAGTTTTGGTGGATTCACGAGCATGCTGGATGTGTGAGTTTGTGTGGAGTTCAGGGCGGCGGCGGGTGACGACGTTTTGACTTGCTCGTATGCTTTGGCCAGAAGAGAACTTACCTGAACATGTAGCAGCACTATGTGGCTTTGCATGTTTTAAAAAAAATCACGCCTGCTGGTTGTCCCGGAAGGTCTGACCCCTTCAGTGGACGCAAGGTGACGTTTGTTGATACCGTCTGCGGTGTGTCCATTGTTAAGGAGCAGCAACTCTAAGAGCTCCTATCAGCAGTCTTCGGGCGCTTTTGATTTTGATTGAGATCACTCGATATTTACATTGAATCATATGGATCTCGGTAGCAATATCTGATCAGATCCACGAAATGCTTTGCCTGTGTTAGTCGTGGTGTCACGGCCATTAACATTGCATTGAAAGAGATATCGATGCTTCGGACGTTCCCTTGATAACATTGCTCGTTCATAGAGAGGTCAAATTTAACTGATATTTAGTACTCAGACCGATGTCTGGTAGTATTCGGCTGCTGTCTCCATGCATCTATTGATTTTGCTTCCTTGTGCACTGTTTCATTACCCCGAGCGTTGCTATATAGGCCTCGCATATCGATGTCTGGTGTTAATATCTTAGCTATGAATCTCTATGGCCATACAGTATGCCACTGCTGAACTTGAAGGGCCTCATATGGAATGGATACAACAAAGGTTTGGCAAAGACGAGCCTTCTTGGAGGGTGAGCTGGCAAGCTCATGTTTGACCACAGGTCTATGTTCTGCAAAGCCGCACTAAGAAAAGCCTTCAAGTTACCGTTCTACCCGAAACTTGTCACCAATGTACCTGTTTATAAGAGGCAACACGAGGGGTCTCGTAACCCTGATGCCAAAATCTAAGCCAAGTCTGGCTGAAAGACCTCTGATTCATGATGAATCAACTTCCAAAGAAGCCTGATTTGCCCAATGAAGGCCATCATAAGACTCTGCAGTGAATTTAAATAAACAGAGGCTATAAGTATGGAGTATGACGCTGCATACCATTCTATTCGCCACAAGCCGAAATCTACCCCTCAGAAGAGTCTGCCATATAAACCTCATTTTGTTCGCCAAGGCCTTCCATCTTGCTGACGAATGACATACAAACACGACCGTGATTTTCCAGACCGTTGATAAGACTCAAGCCACATGTCATTCTGTCCTACGCTTTGCCTCGACGTAGTAACATAGAGACGCGCATAGCTCGGACGCAGCTGCCCGAGTCAGCCAGTCACGAACTGTGCCATCGGAGAAGACTGCGGGTAAGTACATGCAGACATTAAGTCTCATCTCGAGATTGTTTTTTATATAGACTTGCGTTTTTCGAATCACATGTCTTCGTTCGCGGCATGGGCTCAAGGCAAGCAGGGACCTCGCATTGCCGAGAGATTCGATATAGCTCGTAGCATCCGTCGAAATCACTACCGTTAGGTGTGCGAGAGATAATGTGTGTATGTGGGCGAGGAAAAGAGTCTAGACCCGTATTCGCCAGATTATAGAACAACAGTCGCTCTCTGAAGCAGAGTTGACACTCAATAGCTGGAGCTAGTGTATTGCTTCATAAGCTAGGCCAAAGTTGAACCATGAATAGGGGAAGAAGCAGATTGTCAGAGTGCTATCACACAAAGTGTCCGCCAGAGCAGACTATTGAGCAACGATAGCGATAGCCGAGGAATAGAGATTAATACCATGTCGTCTAGCTATCGCATCCACATTTCAAGAGGGTACATTTGATGATGGTGGAACTCAACATGCCTCTAACATCATCAACATCAACACATGATCATGGAAATTACACACGGGAGACCTTCTCCTACGAACATTACGCCTTTGATAGACACCTACATATTCTCGGTAACTCTCAGGCAGATATAAGTATGGTAACGTTTCTGAACTGAAATGTCTTCCCGCTTTAAGAGCCTCATTCACAACAAGAAACCGTCAGTCCACTCAACAACGGTCACCATGAATTAGACGTAAGACTTCGAGCCCAAAGCAGAACCTACGTAAGTGCCCCCTCTTCGATATCAAGTGCAATCTTCCAAGAATATCGAGTCTTGTTACATCAACCACAACTGAACATGATCGACAGACCGAGAGGCTCTTCACGAGTCAAATCCTCAGCTCAAGTCAGCTAACACATGCAACCACACGACATTTGACAACACAAAAGTTGGCCGCAAACTGACACAGAGCACCATTCGGCAATTGAAGTCGTCGTCGTCGTCGTTGCCAACGTCGTCATTGTGAAGTACACTCAACGTCATATTGTATGTATATCGACGCAAGAGTCATTCAACCCATCAAGTATCAGCTCACTGCCGGGGTCCTCTCCGAGACGAGAAAGGAAACTGCCCGTGCTACTCCCTGTTGTTCTAAGTTGCTTGACAGCTATTCGCCACGCAGATATCCTTTTCCTCTCAACGAACCGCAACACCCTTCAACTGACTAAGGGAACAAAATCTTTCTCGCCTTCCCGGGCCCGAGTTTGCTGCCCACGCGGGACATATCAAGTCAGTCGATAACTCGGCTCACCTCGGACTCGGAAGCCGCGTGGGCAAAAAGTCCAATCCGGACGGACGGGCCACCCCAGACCCGCGAACTCTTTTCTCACTCACGCACACATCTCTCTCCTATTCTCTCCTCTCCGTCCCCTCATCCGTCCGTCTTTGCATCGCGTGGGTGCCCGTCCGCCCACAATCCGATCCAAGGTCCGCCCAACATCAGATCAACTTAAGGGGACACCGAGTCAAACTCACTAAACACATACACACGTACGTACGTAATACATGTCCACTGCTCAAACTACGTTGTCCACTTCAGCCAAACCAAACCCAACTTTTGACATCTGAAAAAATCAAGGAGCCAAAAAGAGAGGAAATGGTCTACACTGCCGAAGGAAGAGAGATCCGGGCTTTTCCCACGGGCATATCCGTAGTACCCCCATCCGACCACGCAACCCCAACAAAGAAAGTTTATCGAGCAACCGATTTGGGGCGAGTTGCACTCCTTTCCTCAACCCTCCCTCCCCTCCATCTCCTTCCGCACGGGGACAGTCAGTTCGGTCAGTCCGCCTCACTCCAGCTGAAAACAACAACAACAACAACAACAACAAGAACAGCATAATAGGATGGTGAGAGGCTGGCCAGCTTTGAGGCAGGTCACACACGGTGGTCCCGTCACCAGAGCGTGCGAGAAACTTTGACAAGCCAAGGCAAGTCAAGGGGGGAAACAACAACACCACCACCCGGGACGAGGACCCGAAAAAAGACACAAGAGTCAGTCACAACTCTCGCCTAATCTCTCTCGCCCATTTTCGTCCCGAGAGAAATGCCATTTGCTGGCTTTTGCAAAAAAAAGATTCTAGAAGCACGAGATTTTAAACTTTGATTCTTGTAGATCACACAAGGCCAAGGGGCGAACACACGGCACATTGCGGACAATGATATGGAACTGGAACTCTTTTACAATCCCGCCGATTCGGGTCAAGCCAAGCAAAAAGAGAAGACATTGCCGGCGCGCAAGTGGCAGCATATTGACCCCGTCACGGATACTCCATTTTCTCTATCTATATTCCTCGCCCGGTACATTTGCCAGAAACAGGCAAAGGCATCCCGCAGCCGCCCTTTCCCGTCAATCAAACCCCACGTACCACCACACGGTGCTTTTCCACGCGTTCACGACTCGCAGTGTGATCTGATTCTCTCCGTACGACATCCGGGCATACTCTCTTCCATGAATCTGGGACCACCCGGGGCCCTCGCACATAACGGCAGGCAAAGCCGCTGGGGGGAAGGCGGCCCACTACCGAGCAAAGCGGAAGCCAGCATGCTGTGTATATGAAAAGACAAGGCAGGTTCATTATGCGTTCTAGAGTCATGCTGAGAAGCCATACCCGGGGATGATGGAGGGTCCCCCGTCCGAACCGAGGGAAGTGAGTGACGCTCGCCGCCCGCGTATAGTCAAGGTCATCGGCACCGCGAGCAGGACCGTACCGGCTAGAGGAACGGACAAGAGGCGGCGAGATAGATCTGCTGAATATCGTGGACCAGGGCCGTCGATGGCTGTCGTAATACTCCAGCTAGACGTCTTCAGACATCGAAGGGTATCTATCCGTAGATAGGTTGCCCCTTCGCCTGTCCCCGTTGCCACTGGCCACTCCCAAATCATCCCTCGGTCACAAGACCGAATGGCAAAGTAGCACAGCTAACCATGGCCTGAGTACCATCTATTCTATCTGCTTTCCAGCTTTTTTTTCGCCCCCAAAAGAGTTGGTTTCCAACCCCTTCAACCCTGGTGATCGACCTAGCCTTGCCGGCGCCAAGCGTCGAGGGCATGAAAGACTCGGCAAACCTTCCCCTCGAGAGTTCAAGGAACGCCACGTGCAGGGAAGAGAGCTCCGTAGCAATGCGACTTGCTGGACTCCTCCTTCTTCAACACCATGGGTTGAAAAAAGTCACTCGCCCCCAATCAACCAGTCGGAGGAGACGCCCGCCGCTGACCAACAAGGTAGTCTTCTTGTTCTTTTTCTGCTTTTTCCAGGGGACCAACGAGTCAACCCGACGCGAGGGAGGCCCTTCCTTGCCTCCGGCCGGTGTCCCAAGTCTGAGCGCCTACCAGATCTTTATGCCTCAGGGTGGCATACACCAATAGCATTCGCAGACGGACGAAGACTGCAGTTTCAGGAGTCGATCTCTTGGTCCAGGGGTCCATCGGCGGGGCGACGCCGAGGGAGGGGAGAGCAGTCCAGTTGTGATGGGGATCTGGGAAGATCATGGTTGTTCGAGGCGGTTAGGGGACACACCTGTGGTCTGTGGCGGAAAGCGGGAGGAACGTTTGCCCAGATAGTTGGCAAGGTCAGGCAGGCTTGATGCCGACTTGTCAGTTCAGTAGCCGCAGCAGTTCGTTTGGGAAGGTTGTGGTTAGTGTGGCCGTGGCAGGCAGTATCTGACATGACGGGATCTCACGATTTACCTGAGAAGGGCGGACGACGGGCAGACGGGTAGGAACAACCGGCTACAGAGGCAAAGCTCGGTTGCGAGATGGAGAGAGATGGAAGGATTCCATGCAGCTTGAGAGGCTATGTCGGCGCTTCCTCGTCCACAGACGCGGACTAAAGCAGTCGAGGCATGTGGCATAGCATGCCCACGAGGGCAAGTGAAGGCGACGCAGTGGCGGCTGATGGTGGGGACGACAATGGGCGCCAGAGAGAGGCAGAGAAGCAGAACATCTGTTAGTTACGAGAAAGACTGGATATCTCGTCTGTCAATGTTTCAGACATCTGCCCGAGTGGTACCTGTGCAACTCGGGCACGGCGTCAAAGCACATCGCCAGAGTGGGTGAAGGTGTGCGCCATCCATGCTGTGCAGAAACCGACTAGACTCTGGTGTTTATCGCTTCGGACGAGGACTGAAAAGAGAAGGACGGTGCGTGGGCGGGAGGTGGGAATCGGATTGGCCCTGGCACAGATCTTTGTGTTCATGGGACTGCTAGGCAGCGAAACGAGCATGGCGATATGAAACAAGAGCGGTGGGCGGTAGAGGTGAAGGAGGTATGGGTAAAAGACTCGATGGCAGAAGCCGTCAAGTTTGAGGTAAGGCCAAAAAAAGAGCACCTAGTAAACTAGGTCCCGTCTATCCAAGTTGGGAGCTTGCATTGGCCAGTTGTTGCCTCGTCCGCATCTAGAGGTCGGCGATGTGATATTGTTCCGGGTCTCTGCTCCGGGTACGGGGTCGACGGCGTCCGCACACCGCATGTACACGAGAGGACAAGGCTGGCGACTAGCATGGTTCGAGAAGAATATATAGCGGAACGTCATAGCTAGATCATACGGGATCAAGCGCAGTCAGGCAAGCCACAGATGCTTGTCTAGCTGTCTGTCTCCGTGTCTTTCGAAGCTCGCGAGGCTCGAGTATAGGAGAAAAGAAGCACCAGTCCGTGTACTCTAGATCTCCCGGTCGACCGTCCGTTCCCATCATCAGGATCCGTGACAGCGGAGCCCGTCGAAGGAAGACATGCTTGGAACAGCCACTTTGGTAGCTTCTGGTTGTTGATAGTATGGATTCCATGAGAGGTGTCGGACCTCAGTTGAGCCAACCGGAACGCACCAACGAGAGATACCCTGCAAAGGGACTGTGGGTTGAACGCAAGTGCGGTTGTCCAGGCCCAGCCTTGCTGGGGAGATCCCTTCGTTTAGCAACCTTCAAGAGCTGAGCGAGCATGTTCAAAGCTGACATAAACGGCCGATCGCTGCCTCAAGTCGTTCTGGAAGACGATGTGACATGTCCCTAGAAAGTCGTCGCCCGTGTTTCATGTACCTGAAAACCGCCCCTCTCACCGTGTTTCGGGTGCTGCACAACATTGGCTCCAAGCACACTTGCACCCTTCCAGACCACCTAGGAAAGCTAGGAAAGCGGCGAAGCCCTGTGGATAAGCCCGCCGGTTGCAGGGAAAACTGGAGAAGGCCTGCGGGTTGACATCAACACGAGCTTCTGCCCGTAGTTTGCGCAAAGAGAACTAGCCATTGTTGTATCGAGGGTGGGGGAAACTTGTTGATGGAAACCGCGGTGGAAATAGATGGCTGGGTGCATGCTGCTGTCGCATCGTTTACACTTCTTCTCCGCCGTCACCGCAGCTGGTGCGGATAGGGATTAGGGAGAGAGAACCACACCGTACAGGCTGGTTCATGCACGAATCATACTTCGCCATGGGGGAGCGCGGCCGGCACGGCTGCTGGGCGCCAGTGTCCCTGAGGTTGTCGTGGATGCCCACCACCACCACCACTACCACCAGCCACGACGCGGGTCGAGGACAAGTCGACGTCGAAAATGTCATGTTTCGTCGACTCAGCGAGGCGAGGAAGATCGGCCGTCCCTTCCCTGTCGTTTCAGAGTTGCTCTGGGTTTGGTAGCCTTTCCCATCCCCACTGAACCGGATCCAGGGAACTCGACATGCTTTTTGAGTTCAAGGGTGAAGTTGGTCAGATGTATTCGTATCTGCTTCTCTGAACTGCAGTCAGTCGTCATGGCCGGTGTCAGCCAGGTTGTGAAGAACGCAACGGGCCCTGTGGTAAAAGTCCGAAGAAAGTCTCTTTTTCCTTTGCAGTAGCCTGTAGGCTGGTGGAACTCACCCACAATGGTCGGGAATTATTGTGCAGATTTGACAGGTGAGCGGCAGGTAGGCCGGTGGTGGCGAGTGACGGCTACCGTCGACCAGCCGCCGCCGGAGAAATAAAGGACGACGGTAGCGCGAGGTCGCCGAGGCCCCAGCTAGGTCGACTGCCGATATACCCAGATCCTCGTCTCTCACGCTCCTTCTCGGAGGTTCAAGTTTCATCTCATGGCTGGAGTCGTTCCTCGTAGCGTGCCATTGCCAGACGAATGCCCATCCCCATCACGGTCAAGCCTGGTAGCAAGGAGGGCAATGTTTCCATGTATGATGTCCCAAGTCCATGCAGGTAGGCGAGCACATCACTTTGGTCGGCTGGGATGTTTCTATTCCTGTTTCCTCGACCACGAATACTGTGCCGGCGGCAAGGACCTCGACCTGCTGGCGGCCGGAGCCCCGCGCGAGCTAGGCGGGATGATGAGGGGAGAGAATAAAACAGGAGATCTGCTGATGCGGTGTGAAGCCGAGATGGACCATGGTCGAGGTGAAAGGCTCGCAGGTAATCTCAGCAGCCGCCAGGCGCACACTGTACTGGGGCGAGGCGGCCGAAGGTTCTGCGACCCGATCTCACTCCCGCATGTGCCGTGCAACGATTCCCAGATGAATGGGCAGTGATCTCAAAAAAGCAAAAGCTATTTCTGGCCCATGTTGACCAGTGTGATGCGAGTAAGGGTGAGCGTGGGCGGATTGGTCGTGTGCATGCGCAAGTAGTATATGGAGTACGTTGGTGGTACGGAGTAGACGGGATATGTGTGTGTAGTGTGGTGCTTGGTGTGGTCTGGAGGTGGGACGGGAAGGAGACCAGGCCAAACGCTGGGAGAGGGGCGGCAGCTGGCAGCAAGCGCAGGCAGGCAGGACAGGACAAGAGCAGACAGGCAGGGGAGGGGCAGGTGAGGTGGGAGCGAGAACGGGCGCCCCACTTGGACATCATGGAATGAATCTGAGGGAACCAATGAAAAGGCTGAGATGATCCTAGCGCCTACAGGGCAAGCTCTTCAGGAATATCATTGGCTCCTGCGGCTTAAGCTTAGGCCGAATCCACCAGGGTCCATTTCTGAAACTGCCCACAGCTGCCCACACGGCATCAGTCAGCAGAACCCGACTGGCAGTATCCCGACAGACGCTGGGCCCCAAGGGCCTCACTTTGAGTGACCACGGCATCACGCTCCTCTTCCTTTTTCCGCTTACTGGTGCTTGGCCCATTGTGTGTGTGTGTGTGTGTGTGTGTGATCCATGAGCATGCTTGGGTCGCTCACTGGTCAAACAGGCCCATGATATGACGAATGATACTAATCCAGCATCCCGGCCTCGAGGGGTCTAGACTTGATCACCATTCTTTCCTAAACGGATAGATGTTGCTTAGTGCTTGGTACTCCACGCCCAAAGCAAAAAAAAGCTCCGTCAGTGGTTTGTTTGGTGGAGACGAATCCATTTTACCGCATTCCTCAGGCGTTACGCTTTGTCTCTGAATCTCGAGTCTGAGTCTCTGCTTCTCTTTTCCCACATGATGTCTTTCTTCGAAAAAGAGTGGACATCAACAACCTTGTGCCGCGTGCGCAGCGTACGGATACCCAGCTACTGGGGACCTGAATCGCTTACAAGTTGCTCTACCCGTGTTCGCACCAGCATTGGAACTTGAGAGCGCTTGTTTTGGGCTTCTTGCGACGGCCGAGCTTCGACAAACTTGGGACCGCTTGGAGACTCAAAATAGCAGCAGGCAACGATTGCCTCAGTAACTCGACTGAATAACTCGACTGATTCGTCCATTTCGTCCCAGCTTCCCAAGGACATGAATGTGACGGCCAGCTTAGGAAATGGCCTATGCGCAGTCCAGAAGCGGCACGCATCCCGGCCGAACTTCCCTTGCCTGGCTTGCCTTATCCCCGTCACCGCATTCTCCGTTGACGAAAGTCTCACGATGCTGTCCGCGCGGGACAGGATGCACCTGTCAGGGGGAGAATGATCGTCGTTGATTCTTCCAAAGCTTCCCGATGCCCCTCTTTTGTTTGCCGCTACCACCAAGAATGCAGAAGACGGTAAACATTTAAGATTACGGAGGGGCTTTGCAGATGGTATCATGGCATTCGACCCAGCGGAAGAGCTTCCTATTTAGGCCGTGTCTCCGTCCTCATCGCTTGCCCGAGTTCAACCCCAGTCCGGGACCCCGAACCGTGAATTCCATCACCTGAACGACCTCTCTTCACCGTGGCATGTACGGAGTACAGAGTACGGGTACGGGCGGTAGAGGGATGGAGTGCAACTCGTGCTGAAGGGAAGGGAAGGGAGGGCGATAGACGACAGTTCCCAGACAAGCGGGTGATGCCTGGCCGTGCGGGAGGTCGACAGCGGTCAACATGAACTCTCCCATCCTGACCGAACGCACTGAAGTCGGCCAGGGTAGCGGGACGATCAGGCGAGGTGGGAAAGCTGGTCGCCGTCTTCTCAAGACCCGGACCCGGACCTCGACCTAGTTCTAGCGTGGGCTTGCCTTGTCAGGAACTTAGCAACCATACAACCATTATCCTCGCCCACGCCGAAGACAAAGGCGAAAGCTACGAGTCTACACAGCGATTAGTGTACGAATACTGCGTACTCGGCGGGGGAGGGTGTTCAGGCGTGAGGCAGGCGACGTGCAGCTGGCATCTGCTGGCTTGGAGTTTCAGAAAGCTCGGGGTAGCGTGCGTCGCATTCTGGCAGGATGATCAAACAGCCACAACCATGGTCCATCATCCATGAACAACATCCCGCCGACGGCTCCCTCCACCGCGCAACAAGGCCGGTTTGCCGTCTTGTCAAGACCAGTGCAGGACCGCAGGCTGATGCTTGAGATCTCGTACCTTGCATAGAGAGGCACAGCGCTGCCGTCCGAGGTTCGGCCGTCGCCTCCATTCCAACGTCGTGTCTTGCTCCCGACTTGACCCATGGGTCATGAACCTGCCCATCCTGGATCCATATCGAAGGCGGCCTTTGCCCTCCTTCGCGGCGGATCGCAGCTTTGTGGAACCGACTGCAGCGATTCTGAAAGAAAACGAGCAAAGAGTATCGCATTACCGAGTTCTTGTTTTTGTTGGTCCCGTACGAAGGATGATGTCGGTTTAATCCCCGAAAGGTCCACTCTATCGAGTTCATGTCCGCACTGAGCAGAAAGTGAGGACGGTGTTCCGTAAGGCCACCGTAACGGTCAGGTATTGAGGCCTTGGCCCGGATCGGATGGCAAGAGTCGAAAACGGGATGGCTCTGGAGCCCGATATTCTCCACATGGCCGAAATCGTGTTCTGTTCCTAGTCAGTCACTCAGTTCAATATCAAGACACGATTCAAGCGACCCCGTTGACGACACCGTGCAGATGCTGGGAAGAACACAGAGAACCGTGCGGATAAATGATGGCGCAGTTGGAGCATACTTTGACTGCCCAGTCATTGTGAGTGGTGACCTTTTCAACAGTAACCAGCAGGTGCAGTCGTTGGGAGACTAACGTAGAGCATGCAGGCGAAGCGAAAATCGTGGACCAGTATAAAAGTGTAGAGTGATGTGCATGAAAGCTGCTGAGGGGACAAGCGCCAGTTGGCCGCAAAACCTTAGCCTTTCAGCCTGTGATATTGTCGAGAGGTTATTCGGAAAGCCTGAAGGCATATCGCCCCAATTGGTGTAAGGCCGTCCAATGAATCCTGGCACGACGGAGGGCCAAAGCCACCACCAGTGTTGCCGGACACTTCTTTGGTCTACATCGTAGCTCGCGGCAGCGAATCATCCCGTATTGGGCGATTCTGATCTTCGCTGTACGCGGTGTAGTGTGATAGGTAGGTCGGGCTGGCGGGACGTCGTGACTCGATGAAAGCAAGCGTTCCTGGCGAGAGAGGTACGCGAGTTGGAGGGGCGTGAGATAAGCGAAAGGGGGGCAGTGGTTGCAGTTGCAACTTTGATAGAGGGACGATACTATAAGCGGATTAGCGCTTGATTTTGGTAGCCAAAGCTGATTTCTGAAGCAATGCGCCAGGCAAGTTTCACAGTTGGCAGGGCCCTGCCAGCAATTCTGCCGCAGCGACACGCAGTTTCCAAAGTGGACATAAGCAGAGTACGTACTGCAGCGCTTTCTTAGGGGTGACCTTTGCCTAACATTTAGGGCAGGAAACTACCCGATCCCCACTCCACATCTTTGCTAGCCAGTCAACTTCTGGCTTGGCTAGTGGCCCTAGCTTCTTTCTCGCGTCATCCACTTTGTTCCGACCTTCCTGCATGGCTCTCGCTTTCTCTGTCGATTCGTACCTTTTTCACCCAGAACCGGGGCAGGCCGCACGACACTGGCTACGCGCACGATCACATTCAGAGGGCGACCATTGGCGAGCTATGTACGAAATTTGCTGAGATGCCGCAGTCCCTCGCTGGCCTATTGTCGCATGTGTGCTATGGCATCCCATCAAACTGGCCGGGAATGGACTGAGATGAAAAGGTGCGTTGTTCTGAATGCAATCTGTTGATGGCTAACTACGCTAAAGCGTGACGGCCTCCACTGTCTTGGACTTATCAATCTCCTTTGTCTCTCTCACACTCAGACAAATGCGGCCGCGGACCACTCCGTGTGACCAGAAGACAAGGCTGGAAACAACGTTATAGGGTCTTGACTCTGGAGCTTGAGTCTTGACGAGGAATGCAGCGTGTCTGAAGCCCACGACACATCCCATCAACGGCTCGCTTCCAACGGTTGATGTTCTCCACGACCGGGAGCTGTGACGGTCCGAGCGTGCTTGTGGCAGCTGGCAGGCAAAGCAAGTTGCTTTCGTACAATACCGTGAATACCTACACTATCTGTATAGTCTCTGAGTCTACGGGTACTTTCCTACGCCATATCAACGTACTCGATAAGCCTGCCGATCCATCGGCCGCTACTGTCACCGACTTCACTGCCCAGGGACTCGGACCTGCATTTCGACCCTCAGCTGATGGGAACAGCGTCACATCGGAAAAAGGCGCGCTCTGCATTCTTTCAGGGGCACAACACGAGCCTCTTGATGAGATGACGAGCCGAACTTATCCAGTACCCTTCGTCGCGAAATCGACGCTTGTCGAGAAAGGGAGCATATCCGATGTGCCCCAAGTCGAGAGCCACGTTGTTGCACAGGCTTTCGACGACGACCCTACGACCTTTTTTACCCACTGACTATTGGCGTCGCGGCGTCTACTTTCACGAATTGTAGTTCTCCTCCTCGCAGCCTCAACGGTCTTGCCTGCTGCAAGTACATGGCTTTGGCAGTCAGTCAGCCACGGCCGTCCGAGCTGCGCGTCTTGATGTTCCAAGAGACAGCTTTCAACTCGTAGTGGACTTGTCTCATTAAACTACCAGAGTGCTCGGACTGAGCGAACCTCACCGGTGCCGTCGTCGGCCGCTGCGGCGTATTCGTCCGTCCTCGTGCAAGTGCTCAGGAGAAGGCAATCTTACGAAATAATGGCAGCGACGTGTCAACTATTGCAGCCATTGCATCCATTGCATTCCGAGCAAAACGCGAAAAGTCACTCGTGGAGCTGGAGCTGCTGCTGGACCCCCAAAACAAGCGATATTGCATGTGGAGATTATTGGGCAGTCTCCTCACGTCTTCTTGCTGATGACCTGCACGATAGCCATGGGACATGCATTACCGTTCTCTAGCAGGCCTGCCTAAACCTTCTTTTCCCCCTTCATCCTTTGCTCCGTCAACACCCCTGGGCCGGTTCTGGTCTTGCTTCTCTCTTCCTCCTTTGATCGTGCTGAAGAAGAAGGCTTCATTTCACCGGACATCCAATCCAATGCAACATGCAAGTAAGAGACACGGCTCCGGATCTTGCTCTGCAAAGACCATCTGGGAGCCGGACGGCCCCGCTGCAAGGACCTGGCCTGCTCCGGTTCGCGGAAGACAATGGGAGAGTTCGCGAGATGCGATGACTTGTCTGGTTGGCCTGCAGTATACGAGTATACTCTGTCAGACAGCTGTGCATAAAATATGTCAAATCCCGACAAGTCGACTTATCCAGAGTTTGGCTACGCCCTGACCTCCAGGTCTCTCTTAGTCTAGAGTCTTATCCCAACATTGTTGCCGGCCTTTTTCGTCAGCTTTCTCTCCACTGTCTCCGACGACGCCTCATTTTCCGTTCCTGCATGGCTGAGAGACCGGATCCATATGTCTTGCTCCCTTCTGGCAAACTCTTCGCCCATTGTCTTTGGCACTGCTGGTTCGTTACACACACAGACACGGCCGTTGCCGTCGTCACAAACAATCACGAAAAAGGATACGATCCGGACAGGGTCCGCCGCGGCGAACCATTGATTGTTTCTGGGGACGAGGGGGGGGGGGCAAGTGTCCTAGACCAACAGCATGGGTCTCTCAATCATGATTCAGAGATTCGTCAGATCCTCGTTCAATAGCCGGTTGCTTGCGGTGTGGTAAGTAGGACAAGCAAGCTGCGTCTGTTTCGACTTGTGCGGACGGGTCGGTTCTAGACGTACGATGGGAAGAGAGTCAATGTAACTGTAGTTCCGGGCCACTTGTTGTTGCTGCCCATTAATAGAGAGCACATATTGAAGTATTGCCATTTTTTATTTTAATTTTCTGGTGCCGTTCCTTGTCTACCTTCCTGAACCCGCAGCCAAACGACCCATACCTAGAAGGGTAGAACCAAAGACCTTGTCAATAGTAGAACATGGGGTTATCCATGACAGGGCCTCACGGACGGCCTTTCAGCAGCAGACGGTCGCCCAGAATTGTCTCCCGCTGATGTAGGTACATCGTTCTAAAAAAACCAACGATGCTGAAGCGCACAACGCTCAGGTCTCGCAAGCGGCCGGATCTTTTCTTCTTGCTGCCCCTCCTCCAGCGTCCCGCGCGTCGTGTGAGAATACAATGACTTGAGTACATGCTTCCCCAGCACGATCCATCCTAGCCAGTGCGACCACCCATCAGGGGAACTGTATCTTGTGGTTTTGCTTGGGGGGTTCTTTGGACCAGCATTCGTGGTTGTGGCATGAAGATATGAATCAGCCCAATTCAAGCCACCTCTGGAAAAGACACCAATCAGTGGCCTGAGACTAACGACGAAAGTTGACCGTCTCATCAACCGCCAGACGCCGCTAGCCAAGCATCTTCAACGGGATCACCATAGCAAATCGAGAATCTTGTCACTACTGGATCTTGAACAGGAGTTAGTCGATAATGGCGGGATGGGGGAAGAAGCATTTTGGCCAGGGCCTAGAGCAACCAAGCTTTCTGAATTCGCACTGCATTTTTCGGTCCCGTTAGATTCACCGCTGGGGGAAGAAATCCGCTGCCAAAGCAGACAGCAAGCAAGCCGGGCGGAAATTTTCCAACAGGCAATGACGAAAGAACGGCAGTACGGAGTACATGCGAATTAGACCTCTTCTAGGGTAGAGTTGCCCGCATAAAGGCAGAAGATCTTCCCAGAGAGTAAATGCGAGAAAAAAACCTCCGCTCGCCGCTGTCGACTGATTTTTCTTCTAGAGCGTATCCGTACATTATCTCCTTCTTCATTCCCCAGTTTTTCGATTCCATGCCATGGATGATGGTGTTCCCCTCCAAAGGAAGCCCGTTCACCGAAAACCAGAATCCTTGCTCCGGTCCTGTGTGCCTGGCATTGTTAGCAGGAAACTCTATCGGCACACCCTCTTGATGGGGTGTGGGGATCATGGATGGCGCCAAAAGTTACATCCCAGCCCAGGGTTTGGGCGCGCGACCCAATGGCACGAATAATTTTTTCTTCAAGATTTGATGCCCTTCACTGCATTTTCTGGGTCTTGCGTGGGCAAAATGTCAAGGACGGGGAAAACGGGCCATGGTAAAGTTCAACGGTGCAAGCGTAATGACCACACACGGAATCCCGCCACAGAAATCGATGATGGGCATATCGGCACCGGGATGGAAATGAGATTCCCCTGGACTATCGAGATTAGGTCCGGCGCCCGGGTTTTTTAACCTTTGGAGAACAAGCTTAGAGAGCGTTCTGTCACGGCGTGCCGCCGTCCGCCCAGTACATACATACACTACCACGACGGGGGACCCAGCAGAACACGATGGGGACTTAAGGGGGGATCTACTGCTAGACATCTCGGGGCCTTTTACGGAGGAGGGGGATGCGCATATTAATCCCGAGAAAGGGCAGTGGAGATGGTTAGCCTTGCCTTGCGCCGGCCGTTGACTGCCTGTTTTTGATGAATATCCTGGAGAATTCTGGCCGGGTCCCTTGAGCAGAGAGAGCAGAGCACAGCACAAGGAGTAAAGAGACAAGACTTCGTTTTTTGTGCAAGAGAGAGAGACAGAGACAGAAGAGCATTGTCCTCTGTCCACCATCCCTGACGACAACAGAAGAATCCGGTCTTCCTGTTGGCCAAGGCCAAGGGCCCAATTGGAACCAAACCCACTGATGCCCATCGAAATGGACCACTGCCGTTCATGGGCGCCGTGGACGATGTCCGCATGTCGCCCCCCCTGGCGGAAGGGAAGCCCTGACAGGAAGCAGAGCAAGGTTGTCGGCATCAATGACATGCGAGGTCCAGCATGTTAGTGGGTTGGGTTGGGTCGTTGAAGGGAGAGGGAGAGAGATGGTGGAGGGGGAACTTGTTACGCAGGGACTGCCACTGACAGTGACTTTACATGTGCATTGTGCGGCTATGGAGAACCACCAGGCGCAGACAGTCATCGAAGACTCTAGGGCCTAGAGCGAAGGGCCGCGCGAGACTTGTCTGACCATCTAACTGACTTGGCTCAGCGCGTTGAGCGAGAGTGAGAGCGCGAGACTTTCTCCTCCTCCTCCTCCTCCTCCTCTCTCTTTAGTCAACGCGAGAAACCTGTAAAAGGCGCGAGCGCAGGCAAGGGACAGACAGCGAGCGCGAGTGGGAGCCAATGTCAGTGTCAGTGTCAGTGTCGCTGTCGCTGCCAAAGCCAGTCAGTGTTGTTGCCGTCCGCTCTGTCAGCGGTTGATGGATTTCCTGTAATGTCCCCCTTCGCTACGCGGTGCGGACTGCGGTGCTCTGCATCCCGCTATACGTATTATCCTAGGTGCTTAACACTGCACCTTAGTTTTCACTCGCTTGGGGGCGCCGTTGGGTCTTGTAAGCGGTATGTAGCGATATTGCTTTGTGGACACACGAGCTTGCCGGCAACTGGGGCCTGCTTGTCCGGGGCTTCTTGTCTACATACCTAGGTGGTCCGTAGTAAATCGTCCTTTTCTCGTTTCTGCAAGATGCAATTCCCTATCCTGGACCAACTCAACTAGATCCATGATCTTAGAACGGGTCAGATAGACAAATAGAGAACGAGAGGTACAGAGGGACGGAAGAGAGACATTTGGCAGATACATTGTCTCGGGGCCGCTTTACCGGTTGCAAGCGAGAGAGGCTTTGAAAGTGGTTCACCCCTGGTACAACTAAACTCAACTCAACTCTCGTCACCTCTCATCCACCACCCCTTACTTTTTTCTGTACCCTACATACATACACTTTCCGCCCAGATGCCCCGTGCGCAAAAGGAAGAGAAGAAGAGGTGAAGAGAGATGAAAGAAGAAGAAGAACCAACCTATCAGGCTATCAGCCAAAGCTATGCCGATTGCGAAAGCCTTTGCCTTTTCTCCATCACACCTGCCTCTCCCGCGGGGGGCCTGGCCTGGCGCGGCGCGCCGTCCTTCTTTCACACTCTATCTCTATCTCATTTCTCCCTATTTCAAAAGTGACCACGGATAGTGTATAGAGCTCCAGATAGAGACTCTTTTCCTACAGCGGCCAAGCGAGAACGACGGGGCCTGGATTTTCGTCAGATGGGGCTAAGAGACAGACACTTGGGAGCGGGAAAGAAAGAAAACCGTCCGGATTAGCAGCGGCCATCTTTCTCTTGTCTCTCAACTCTCACTCTAAAGTCTCTCTGTGGCCGCCTGGCCGCCTGGCGGGAGCAAAGGCTAATTCCAGGTCCGGCCAATCGGCGATCCACAAAGATTCCCTGGGCACCCCCGGTTGGTACTTCCGCACGCTTTCTCTCCCCTCCATCTGGTGGTGCCGTGGTGGCCACCCCGTATGGTACAGTTTCCCTAGCAGTATGGGCTTCGACTTTGACTTCTCCTCCTAGAACAGGGACAGACAGGAACAGGGACGGCATGTCAGGAACAAAAGGAACATGATCTCATGATGCTTCTGTATGGGAATATGTATATACTCATCACACACACAGGAACGGCAACGAGGGCTCCCTGTTCTAGTTGGCAGCAGCGGACTAGTCTATGACTTGGACCTGCGTCTAGCTTACGTCTATCTACGATTCCCGTCGTTGGCTGCTAGTAGTAAAGTACCGTTCCGACAAGTTTTTGTCAGCAGCGATATCTGTACAAGCAATAGGCACTAGAAAGGCCGGGCCAGGAACCACCAGGAACCATGAGCGGCACCACATGATTACTGTCGTACAATACTAAAGCTTTGCCGCGACGCATGGTAGAGAGAGTTGAGTACGGGATAGACAAGAGACACCGGACTCACTCAGTTGATAGCTATCCACTAAAAGACGAGCACCTAGCGCTGTTCCCCACAGCCACGCTTCATCCCACCTCAGCACTCCGTACAAAGTACACGAGAACGCCTGAGAGCCACCCAAAGTGACTAATCGCTTGCAAGGAGTGCAACGGTTAATAGCAGCCTCTTCATGCCGACTTATAGCATATACCCGAGTTCCCGTCAGTCTGGCGAGTTGATTTTTCTGCAGTTTTATTGCTCTTGATTAAAAAGAATGTCCCACACTGCTGGATTACATGCAGGAACCTGCAACTCCGACTGTCATGATCACGCGCATTCCACAGTATACTATGTACAAGACCAGAAGGGACGAGACTGATGAATGTCAACAATAACACCAGCCGTCCCCGGTTGTTGTTATTGTTGTGCCGGCGTGCGGGATACACATACATGTGTAGGCATGTTAAACCGCGGGACACCCCTGGCTTGTCCCAACTCAACTTCACCCACGCATAGCAAGTCCGAGACAAGAAAAAGACAACCCAATGGCAAGACAGGTATCGGATAGGTAAGCAGGTAATGGTATCCGTACCTTGCTTGCTTGACTTACTTTTTTGCTAAGTCTTTCTGCATCCTCATGCCCCCTTCACTGGTCTTTTCGCCCGCTAAGCCTAGACCCGTTGTCGTTGTCTCTCATTTTCTCTTACTCTCACACTCTGGCCTCGCGTGTATGTGAAGGTGTATCTGACCAGTGCCGTAGACAGGTAGGCAGACAGAGCGATTGTGTGCGTGTGTGCGCGGGCGTCGCGGTCTCTCGCCCTCATTGACATTCTCCTCCGCTTTTCCTTGTGCTCCTAGTCCAGGTCCAGCGTGTGTGCGTGTGTGTGTCCAAGACCTGACCTAGTCTCTCGCCTTCTTTCTCTCTCTCATCCTCCACAAATCTCATCCACATCCGTCCACTCCCACACCCCTGTTCCGCCATCGTCCATGGTCCTAATCCTGGGAGTATGTCCACTTGGACAGTCCCAATCAGGTCCCCAGTTCCAAGGTCTCTCCGTATCCATCCCACCATCATGACCGCCTCCTCCTCTCAGTCAGAAGGTCTGGGTGCTAGCCCACTTTCGCTCTTGACTTCTTGACTTGTTGTCTTTCCACTCACGCTACCCTTGTCTGACCTAACCGGGCCTGGTGCTGGGTTCGTGGTGGTTGTGGATGGGTGAATGGACGGGTGGACATGGATTCTCTCACTCTCACTCTCATTCTCATTCTCACTCTCAGTCCTGCTGCTCTGTTTCTCTTCCCGCCGGTCCAGGTACCGCAGCAAGGTACCGGGCCCTGCTTCCTCGCTCGTCCTCCCTCCTCCTTGACTTCTCTCTCCCCTCTCCACCCAACTTTCACACCCCCCTCCCCCTTCCTTTTTTTCTTAAACACCCTCCCCCCTCGTCCACCCGGCTGCGTCTTTGCTCTCTCTCTGCCCTCCTTTCGCTCTGCTCTGCTCACCCTGAACCCGCTCGACGGTCCAGTCACCAGTCAGTCAACTCAGTCACTCTGTACCAAGTAAGTCGGGTCCTTCTGCGCTCTCAGTCTCTCCTCCTCGTCCTCTTGCCCCCTTGGCCTTCCTTCTACCCATCGGCTGCCACCATTTGGTTCACTCCCATCCGCCGCACGCCTACCCGACGCCCACGCGCGCTGCTACCATACCTTAGTACCTAGTGCAGGTACCTTCCTACTGCCGCTGCCGCCGCTCTCTTTACTCCCACTCCCAAGTACCTTCTCCAAGGTACCTACCTACCCAAACCCAAGGCAAGGGCCCCAAAAGTCCAATCCCGCGCCAGACCCAGACCAGACCAGACCAGACCTTCTCACCCACTTCCTCCTCGTCTTCCTCCTCCTTCCTACCTACCTTGCTCCTCCTTTCCATGCCCCCCTCCCCCCCCAGGCCCAAGGTACCGCGCACCACGCACACCACGTACACCACGCACCACCACACGCACCAGCACCCAGCACCCAGCATACTCCGTACCCAAGAACCACTTCGCTTGACCTTGGCCTGCTGGGGACCTGACCTTCTCTCTTCCTCCTCCCTTTCTCACCCCGTCCAAAATCATTAAACCCCCAGACCATCCTCCCATTCCCAAACTCTTCTGATATCTCTTTTTTACAAGACTCTTCTTTTCTTCCCATCTCTCTTTTCCATTCTCTCCCTCTACTTCCCTCCTCCTTCTTCCCCTTCTCTCCTCGTCGGAGCCGCACATACCTCCCACCCCCGTTTCTCTTGCCATCTCATCAGGACTGACCATCCCCGAGGCACATCATCCCGCCCATCGACACTTCAGACATTGCCCGTCGCACGCTTGTCCATCATCGCGAATCGCATCGCGCCAGCAAGCACCAAGCACGTCTAGTCGCCAACCAGTTCCAGTTCCTGCGCAGGGTCCCTTCGTCGAGCTTTTTCTACCTTCTTGTTTTGCCATTGACGCACCGTCTTCCACCAACGACCCCTAATTCATTCGACCCCAAGGTTCCACTCCGAGACCGAAGGCGCCGATTAACACCAAATCACCCATCATCAACAATATCAGCACCTTGACGGTCTTGATCTGCGTAGCCGAAATCACCCATCATTCGCTTGAGGTCGAGTTTGGGTCCTGTGGTCTACAGTTGTGCCAACACAAAAAGTTATTTCCTCCCGGGCTGGACTCGATTTAAGTCTCAAAAAATCAATCAAAAAGAAAACTAGCAACGATCCCATTACCGGGCTCATCCAACCAGGGCAGCGCCTTCAATCAGCTTTGCGAATTTACGTCTCGCAAACGAACACACCATTTCTTTGACTCTTCGTCACCTCCGCAATCCTGCCAAGGCGAATCACCCGCGCGACCTCGCTCTCGAACCGGTCAGACGCGACCGACACCCGTCGTCAACCCCCATCACAACGAATTCGACAGCATGTACTCACAACATGCCGCCGCGGGCATGGCCCCCCAAAAGCCAGAGACCTTCATGCTGAGCACCGAGGCCCAGCAGGCGTTGCCTCACGACGCCCAGGTCGCTTTGCAACAGGTTGACAACCGTAAGTCGAAATTGAATCGGTAATTCTCAAAGATCTCAATTGACTCGTCTCCCAGTGAAATACTTCCTCATTTCTGCTCCTGTTGATTGGCAACCCGATCAGTACATCCGCAGATTTCTCCTTCCCACGGGCGAGTACGTCTCTTGCGTTCTCTGGAACAACCTCTTCCACATCTCCGGAACCGACATCGTCAGATGCCTGTCCTTCAGATTTCAGGCTTTCGGGCGGCCAGTGAAGAACTCTAAGAAGTTCGAGGAGGGCATCTTCTCCGACTTGAGAAACCTGAAGTCGGGAACCGATGCATCGCTCGAGGAGCCCAAGAGCCCCTTCCTCGACTTCCTCTACAAGAACAACTGCATTCGCACACAAAAGAAGCAGAAGGTCTTCTACTGGTATAGCGTACCCCACGACAGACTCTTCCTTGACGCTCTCGAGCGTGATCTGAAGCGCGAGAAGATGGGTCAGGAGGCCACCACCGTCGCCGTTAGCGAGCCTGCTCTGTCATTCCAGTACGACTCGTCCCAGTCGCTCTATGAGCAGCTCACCAAGGCCCAGCAGGCCAACTCCTCGTCTTTCAACGCCCAGCAGGTCACCTTCTCTCAGTCCCAGTCCACCTCGCCGATCATGAGACCCATGGACAACATGCCGCCCCCGCAAATGATTCCTCAATCAGTTGCTCCTATGCAGGATGGCATGGAGTCGATGGTGCCCTACGGAGCGATGGGCATGCCTCAGCAGATGCCTCCCCAGCAGATGGTCAAGAGGGAACCCGATTTCGCTCGCGTCCAGTACAACCAGAACGGTGTTCCCATCACCCAGGGTCACCAGAGACACGCTTCGATGCCCGCCTACGGCCTCGAGTACTCTCCCGCCCCGTCATTCGTCTCTTCTCAGTACGAGGACTACAGCAACCGCGGAATCTCCTTCGAGCCCATTACACCTCCCCAGCAGGCCTTGGGCATGGCCGCCGAGCCCGCCTACATCGCCAACGAGGAGACCGGCCTGTACACCGCCATTCCCGACCACATGGGCGGCAACGTCAACGGCCTCAACGGCATGATCCAGCTTCCCCCCTCCAACCTCGCCGGCCCTCAGTTCTCGAGAGCCTATGGTTCAAACAACGTCTACTCCGTCATTGAAGGATCCCCCACCTACAAGCAGAGGAGACGGCGTTCATCCATCCCGCCGTCAATGTCAGCCATTGCCGCTGCCACTGCCCAAGCGCAGGCACAGGCTGCCGCTCAGCAACAGCAGCACCAACAACACCAACAGCAGCACAGACCCTCGGATCTCCGGCGGTCGGTCTCTGCATCCGTCGGTCCTGTGGCTGAAGGCGACGAATCTGCAGACAACTCCCCGCCCGGCCTTGCCTACAGCAGCTCCGCCATGTCCATGGTAAGCCAGCAGCACAAGGAGATGCTGGACCTGTCCCGGCACGGCACTCCGCTGTCCACTGTCGAGGGCAGCCCCGCTCTCAACCCTATGTCCCTCCAGCAGCAAGACTACTCCCACCTCCAACACGATGATATGTCCGGTGATGGTTCTATGAACGGCGCTCCCCGGCCTGGCATGCAGGGCCCCAACGGTGTCGTTCGCAGAGCCCGCTCCGCGACTGTCATGGAACTTGGTCCCTACCCCCAGAAGTCCCACTCCTGCCCTATTCCCACGTGTGGTCGTCTCTTCAAGAGATTAGAGCACCTCAAGAGGTAAGAACCAGACTCGATTCTATTTGTGATCAACCAAAAAAAACGACCTGCCTGAAATCTGACCAAACCTCCAGACACGTGAGAACACATACACAAGAAAGACCCTACATCTGCCCTTATTGTAGCAAGGCATTCTCCAGATCAGACAACCTAGCACAGTATGCCCCAACTTTCCTTCATCTCATTTCCTTTGTCATTTCCTTTGTCAAGAAAGATGTAATGTGGAGCGAGACCCCAAGCGATGAAAACCAACGTCCAAACCGCCGCGCCACAACACAGACTTCATCATCACTACGCAGCCACCAAGTTTTAGGGGGGAACCCACCTCGTCGCATAGCATGGACTGACTTTGATGTTTCAACAGACACAAGCGTACTCATGACCGTGGTGAGAACGGCGAGGCTGCTCTCAACTTCTCCGGCGAGGAGGAGGAAGAGTACTCTGGCGAGGACCAGCTGGGTTCCCTCGAGGAGGCATCGCCCAACTCCGAGAACGCCTACGTCACCGCTTCGCTCAACGGTGTTGCCAACGGCTCGACACCGCCGACATCGAACGGCATGGCGCAATCGTTCAACAGCTTGCAGACGCTCAGCATGCCGATGACCATCAGCCAACCGGCAGTCAACGCGAGCGCCATCATGTGAGAGACGACACCTCACGAGCTTCGGCTCTCGTTATGACTGGAGTTACGTTTCCTTCGACACGGTGTTACTTAGAGGGCGGCATGGCTATGACAAAGGTTCGGAATGGGTTAGGGGCTTTTTCTTTTTTCTTCATCCATCCAGAAGATGGATTTCGGCACGCGTTAGCGACTGGACAATTGCTCCTCTGGCTCCGGGCGAATTTTTTATTTCATTTTCAGTTTCATGTGTTCAGCATCGAGTCTGGCCGACGGTCTCAGACACCAAAAAGGAAACTCGCACACATAGAGGTACGTACGGAGAGACTGGGAAGACCTCGACGTTTGAAAGTACCCGTCGAAAAGGGAGATTTTTATGCATGAACTTAGGGTCGATATGCGAAGAAGAGAAACGACTCGCACATGTATATATAGTTTTTTTCCTTTGTGCTGGAGAGGCATAGTTGAGAAAAGAACACTCGCCAGAAGGCCAGATGATACCAGGGGGAGAAGACTGCCGAGCATTCCTTTGATTGCTCGACAGGGGTTGCCACGAAACAATAAGCAGAGTCTCGAATGTTGATTCACCTTTCCAAGTCCGGTTCCTTGCCAGTGATCTGTTCTCGAATGTGACTGATGCTCTAAAGTTGTGAGGACTAAGCCGGACTTGAGATGAATAGGTTTGTGCGTGCCAGCAAGTGGACATGTATTGAGACCCAGTCACGTGTAAGCATTTGAGCATTATGGACGGAGAATAAACAATTTGCGTAAAGCCTTGCCTCTTTCAGATCTACTGCCTTGAGAAAGACTATGAGCCGCTGCGAAAGTGAGGCACCTATTACTGTAGGTATATAAGGGCTCGGGAGTCTTGCGGCATGGTAGATGATCAGTCTACCTCCTCCCGCGGCCTCCTCTACCACCACCACCACCTCTCCCTCCCCTTCCGCCCCGACCTCCACGTCCACCACCGCGCCCGCCGCCGCCGCCGCCGCCCTCGATGTTCCGAACATCCCTCTCGCTCAACCTCAGCTCAGCGCCCCTCATCCTTCCAACATCAAGCCCATCAAGGCCCCTCTGTCCAAACCTACCCCCCCCGCCGCTCTCCTTCTTCGTCGCCTTCTTGGGCGCCTCCCTCTCCAACACGATTCCGTTCTCCCTTGCCGTCTTCCTGCGCTTCTCCTCGCGCTTGGCCGTGCTGGCGACGATGCCCTTGCGCATCGCCATCGGCATCTTTTCCTGGACAAAGATTGATTTGACGCCGGATACCCCCTGCGCGCCGGCGAGGGACTGCGTGCGCAGGTCCGTCTGGCGCTGACGGAGTTTGCCCTCGGAAAAGGACTTGGAGGCGGCGTTGGACGGGTTGGAGAAGGGGGAGACGGCGTGGCGGGCGAGGAGGTGGGATTCGGAGAGGAGGCGTTGGAGGGCGAGGTCGTTTGCGAGCATGGACTTGTCGTTTTCGTCGTCTGGGTCGTCGGGGGGTTGTGCTGCTGTGAGGGAGGTTGGGGAGGGGTCTGTTTGGGAAGGGGGTTTGGAGGACTATGAGGAGGAGGAGGTTAGTGAGATATCGAGAGGTGAGGACGAGAAGGAGGGAGTTACCATGAAGGCCTTGAGTTCGCGCTTGCTCATGCTGACGACGGGAGGGGCGTTAGATTTGGTGTGGTCTACGACCTCGATGACGTGGTTCTCGTCGATGTCGTCGTAAGGGATGTCGCTGTCCTCGTCGTAGTCGTCTTCTGTTGAGTCTCTCGTTAGTCAATGGTCTTCTCCATAGCATTTCTGGACATTACGCCCAGCGGGTTGACTTACCCTCGTCGCCAGAGAGACCACTCCACTCCTCCCCCTCCCCCTCCTCGCCGTCAGCACCCTCGTCCTCAAAGACGTCCTCTTCGCCTTCGTCAACCTCCTCGTCACTTCCGCTCGCGCTGTCCTCCTCCTCCTCCTCTTCGGCCTTGGCCTTGCTCTTCTTGCGCTTCGGCGCGCTCTTCTCCTCAATTGGTTTGAACTGCGCCTCAAAATGCCGTCTGAAAATCTCTTGCGCGTCTAGCATGGACGTATCCTCCTCCTCTTCGTCCCTTTCCTCAGCCTTTCTCGCCTTCGTCATCTTGGTGGCCGTCGTCCTCTTCTTCGTCGCTGTCGCGGTGGCGGATGATTTCTTGAGGCCCTCGGCGCTCTTCTTCTTTCTCAATGCCGGTGCAGCAGTCTTGCTTGATGCCGTCGCAGTGGGCTTGCTCGTCTTGGCAGTCGACGCAGAGGGCGCCTTGCGCTTTCCGAGAACCGAGGCCATGTTCGCGGTCTCAGGTCGAGATTTTGAGCTTGTAGGTTTGCGGTCGTTGCTCTTGCTCGGGGAAGCGAAATGTGGAATGTACAGTGGAGGAGACGATTGTCCCCGATTCGTTGCTGCGACAGAAAGCAGTGACCGTAGCTTCGTTGTCGTACTCCGATTGTTGCAGTATTGTTGGGGGGGAAAAAGTCCTTCAGCAACCGAAACTTCTACGGTAGGTATGCAGAAGACCTACCTTATCGCGACAATCTTGAAAATTTCAGCGGGTCCGAGACAAGGTCCCCTTTCTCAGCCTCGCCCAACCTGTGGCTGGAGAACATCCTCATTGGCTGCAGCCTCCACTAAATCAATAAGGATGGGAGGGGGGTTCAAAGACGTCAAAAGACGTCAAAGCTCCCATCAGCCTTGGTGGGATGCTAAAGCCCCCAAATCCCCCCCCTGCTCACCAACCATCCAGTGTTATCTCTTGGATGCGACAATGACTGCACAACTAGACACGTCGACTAGGCATCTTGCATCAGAGTTCACCTCCCACAGCTAAACAACAACATGAGATGAAGAGAATCCCCCAGACACATGCGCACAGCAGGTTGATCTGTTTCCAAGGAGAAAGAAAAAGAAAGTTTCTTTGGATCTGACACGTCTTGCGACAGGAAACTATCTTCTAGTCCCTCAAAGTGCCAAGAACAGCCCACATCCAATGGACCAGATGAAACCATCACCTGGGCGGACTGACATTTATCAGAGCCTTCCTATGGTTCACCACCTCCATGAACACGCTGGTAACCTAGATACCAACTAAACTTACAAGTGGGCTGCGTGGTTCATAGGTCGACGCATCACCGCCAGCCATGCGCTCACACAGCATGCACCAAAGAAACGACCTGAGGGGAAAGAGAACAAGATAGGTACTTATAACACCAAACTAACTCTGCTTGTGACAATCACTGCTTGCTATCCATCCCAAAGACCCAGTTTTCATCACATCTCTCCCTTCTCCAGATGCACACTCCCCCTTAGACCCCATTTCTTTTACACGCTGTAGGTCACACAAAAATATCAGAGGAGATTCCCTAAGACCGCGCGGCCTCAAGTTCCAGCTCCAATTGTCTGATCCTCTCGCTCTGGTCCTGAGACCCGCCAGCGTTCACCTTGCGCTTCAGCCCCTCGACTTCGTCCGACAACTTGCTAATCTTGTCGTTCTGCTTGCCAATGAGCTTGGTCTGCTGCTCGAGCATCTGTCTGATCTGATCCAGAGATGACTCAATGTGCGTCGAGGATGCAGGTGAGTTGGCAGATGCGGGCTTGACAGGGGACTGTTGTGCGGGAGGCGACTTGACTTGAGCAGGGGAGGCGGCCTTGATAGGCGAGGGAATCTTAGCCGGCTCGGCACGGACAGGAGCAGGAGCTGCAGCAGGGGCCGCGGCGCGCTGAGCTGGTCTTTGTACCTCCTCAAAGCTTGAGTCGTCGTCCTCATCCTCAGGCTCAGCAGGCTCGTCATCCTTGAACTTGTTGGCCATGTTGGACATGGAGGCCTGCTGCTCCTTCATTGAGGGAGGGGGTGAGCGTGCCACCGGAGTAGGCTCCGGAGCGGGGGCGGGCTTTGGCGCAGGCTTTGCAGCTGGAGGAGGAGCCGAGGCGATCACGGGAGGCTTGTAGTCAGAGGCAACCTCCTTCGGGGCGGTACCCTCGTACACACTCTCCAAGTCGATCTTGGAGGGAATGCCAGTCTTGCCATCGAGCCAATCCTTGGCGCTGACGGCAGGCTTGAGGCCAGTAGCGGGGGGGAAGATATCGGACTGGAAGGTTTCGGCTCTACGGGGGACGGTGAAAGAGATGGGCTCGATGTAGCTATCGTTGACCGTCTTGTAGGCTCTCATGACCTCGTTCTCGTGCACCTACGCGGCGTTAGATATGGCTCTCTAGATATTTCACCACGCGCGCGCTGAAGTCGACCTACGTTAATGCCACGACGAGGAACGAAAGCAATGCCTCTTTGGGGCTCGGCGGACTTGTACTCGCTCAGGTATTCGAACTTGTCGTTCTCGTACTCGTAGTATCGGATGTTGCCGTCGCTGTCAGAACTGTCAGTACGCCAAGGACTATACTCTGCTCAATGAACTACTTACCCCTTGCCAGCAAGATACAAGCAGTTGGATCCGTCATCTGTCTGTAGTTTAGCAACTGTCCCTTACGAAGGATGGACCTCCAACACTGACCCCAGAAAGGCATGATGACACCAGAGATGGAGTCCAGCATGCTGAAACCTCCAATCGGCTCACTGCGGCCAGGCTCCCACAGCGCAAGCTGACGCTCGCTCATGCGCGAGAAACCAGCCGTGGCGAAACGGTTGTGCTCGCCCATCCATACAGCTCTGCTGTTCTTGGCGCCCGGGTGGCCAGGAGCCTCGTGGACCGGCTTCTCGGCGCGCACATCCCACACGCGGATCTTCTTGTCGCGAGATGTCGTGACCAACATGGAGCCGCTGGCGTTCCACGACAGACTCTGGACGATGTCGTTGTGCTTTAGGGTGTGGGTAGGCGAGCCGGTGGTGATGTCCCAGAGCTTGATCGTAAAGTCGCCGGATGCGGACGCGAGAATGTTTTCCGCAGCGGGGTTGAACTGGACCTGGCCGACCTTTCTGTATGTTACATATCAGCATCATGGCCGAGAAAGTGGAGTGGGAGAAGAGGAGGTCACGGGCAACGAACCTCGAGTGGCCAGCGAGCTTGCTGACGGGGGAGACATCGGCGGGCTCGTCGGCATCGGTGTAGAGGGTGAAGTTCTCGGGAACCTGCCAGAGGAAGACCTTTCCATCCTCAGATCCAGAAGCAATCACGCGGTCGTTGAAGGGGTTCCTAGCACGTGGTCATCAGTATGATTGTCGCGTGCGCTCGCCGTCGTCGGTGGATGGTGCGCGCGGGTCGCGGCGTCGCGGGGATCGGCGTACCAGTCGGTATCCAAGACGGTGGCGGTATGGCCTCGAAACAGCGGGATCTGGTCGGGCACCTTTCCCTTCTCGCCAAGGGGGATGACAGCGAAAGCGCCGCCACCGCCGGCATCCCAATTGACGGAGAGGTAGTCGGGGTTGGCCTAAAGGTTGCGAGTTTCTGGTCAGCCTCTTCCTCTTGTGTTCTCCTATCGACCCCGGTCTTGCCCCCCCATCAATTGTCTCGGCAGGAGGGCAAAAGAAGCAAAGGAGCGAACCCCTTACTTACCTTCACCAAGTTGGTATCCCAGGCATTTCGGCTGATGTGAAGATTATCGTAGCAGAACTCCTTCCGGGTCGGCTTGCCAAAGACGTGTCCTAGACGAGAGGAAATCGGGCGTCAGTATTCAGCTCGTCCCAGCGCAACACGGTGGCATGCGACAGTTTAAACAAAAAAAAAAAGACCCACGATATTTCGACGCTCGCACAAAGCGGCCCGCCATTGAGGATGATTTATGTTTTGGAAGACCCGGGTGGCGGGAGGGAGGAGGGGAAGGGGTCGGTAAAGAAAGAGGCAGACGATATGCAATGCTGTGTAGGGAAAAGCGACGTAACCTGCGATCTCTTGGTGATCCAAAAGGGGAGGATTCGGTGTAATAAGATAGCTGGGAGCTGTTGCTGGCGGGCCCTTCCAAAATAACGAACTAACGGGAAGACGAAGTGGGTGCTGCCGCCCGCCTGCTACTGCTGCCAGCCCACTGCAATTCAGGTAGCGAGCAGCAATCCATTGCTCTGGATGGGTACGTACCCACCTGCAATTCGTGCCGCTGCACATTACCTTCGGTACGGATGGATACCTTGGTGAAACTCCCCCGGCCAGCTGCGCCCCCGTGGCTTCCCTTCACTGACGAGAACATCAATGGAGCAAGGGTCCAGCAACTTTATGCACATCACCACGCACGTGATGCATGCGCTCCTCACCTAGGTGACTACGAACTTACCAGGACCTAGGGTGAACTCAATTGCCCTCGGATTATGACCCAAGTAGACAAGGCAACAGATATCACGGCACGAAAATGCAATGCCAAACAATTTAACGATAAAAACCTCCCATTTTAGTACAACATGATACGTACAACCAAACGGGCTACCCGACTCCTAGAACAATGCTCAAAAGAAGCCGAGTGCGAATTTAAAACAACAAGCTCTCAATCTCCGGAATTTCCTCCATCGCCATCGCCATCCAAACCATGCCCAAACGCCATCCTGTCTGCCAAATTATTAGATATTCAGGCAAGCGCGCAGTCCACAAGACACAAGTCATCGCAACAGCGGACCAAAGACAACATGATGATCCGATCACGAACTCCAGGTCCAAGAGAATCATAGATCATGACGTGCCTCCCCATTACTTCGTGTCCCCTACTCGTGCCGATCATGCCAAATCATCAAGAAAAGAAGGGGTATTAGTTGAATGTGCTCTTCGTACGCGAGTGCACCCGTCGGCCCTCTTGCCGCCGTCGCAGCGCCTCCTCTCTCTTGAGGATGAGCTCGCACCACTTGCCCTGCTTGCGAGAACCACCAACATCGTCCTCGCTGTCGCCGCGACCGGTACCAATGAGGTCCGTCAGAGCCAACAGCCAGCCCTGCTTGTCCTCGGCTGTGTCGGCGTAGAAGTCAATGGTCTCGCCGTTATTGAAGCGGATGCGGAAACCCTCCTCGACAAACATGTATCCTTCTTCTTCCTCGGCGAAGGCTGATCGCCGACGTCTGCCGCCCTTGCCGGTCGTCTCTCGCTCCGTCAGGGCACGCCGGTCGTCAATCAGCCTCTTGGCATTAGCCAGGTTGATAGTAGCTCGGGGTTGACGGGTAGCCTCGTGGTAGGCCGTGAGCTTCTGGCCAACAAGCTTGAAGTATCGTCGACGCCAGTACTTTGATGAGATTAGCACGTATTCGGTATGAATCGGATATGACACGAGACTTACAGGGCAGTCGCCACCCTGTTGGCTCAGGTGACCTTCCCAGTTCTTAGCAAGGCGCTCCTCCGCAGCCTTAAGCTCTCGGATACAAGAGTTCATGCTCTTGGGCATGTCCTCCTCGGTGGATCCCTTGGGACGGGGCACAAAGAGCAACTGTAGCTCCAACTTTCCAATCTTGTAGGGGGCGCGGCGGACAACAGCAGTATTGCCACGCTTGCTCTTGACGCTGGAGGCGAAGGTAGCCTCTTCAGTCGCCCACTCGTTGAAGCAAGCCACGTCAACGACATAGGGGCGACCGTAACAGCGCGACTCGTGCTCTTTGAGGCACACGTACGAACGAGCAAAGCTGCCATCCTCAGCCGCGAGTGGAGACAACAAGTCCCAGGCGGTAGGCGCGACCTTCATCTGTCTGGCCTGAGCAGCCTTTTGCTGCTCGGCGGCTACACGCTCCTCCTCTTCGCGCTGGCGCAACTCCATCTCCTTCCGCTTCTTGGGAGACGCGAACACCCTGCTAAAGGTAGACGTCTTGGGCTTGCTAGCCTTAGTAGGAGACTGCACGATCACCTTCTTGGCAGGCGCGGGCTTCTCCAGCTTCACGTTGAGGGTCAGCTGGAACTCCAGGTCGTTGGGAACCACAAGTTCAAACTCCTGGCCGACGGGAGCGTTGCGAGCAAGCTCAAGCCAGGCGGTTGTGACACAATGGACACCATTGTCAAGCGTCAGGCTGAACCAGGTACGCTCAGCTAAACAATTGTCAGTAATCTGGAGATGAGGCTTGGGAGGGTGGAACATACTTCGGGGAATGGGCAGGTCGAGATCCTTGACTCCAAGAACCTTGACGAAGAGGCGGCCACGTTCGCCGCTTTCCTCGGTCGCAAGCTCCGGGTTCAAGTCCTCTTCAGCCAGGGGGTTCAGAGTTTGAGCATTGCTCTCCTGGCCAGGCATAGGCGGCACAGGACCACTTGTGTTGGCGCGGCGTCTGATGCTCTTCTGTCTGGGCCTACCGTTCCAGGGCTCGACGGTCCATGACTGAGGGCGGTCTGTCTTAACGGGGGAGTTGCCAGCAGATCGAGTCTTCCACATGTCAGAAGACTCTTTGTCGCTCGCTGTAACAACTTTGGTGTTCTGGCGCATGAGGTATCCGCGCTGGTTCTTCTGGTTAGCATTCTGTGACTCTTTCCTGTCTGGTGAAATGATTTTATTCGTGGTTGCGGTCGGCTTGGACACTTGTCTGCTGGTGCTGCCACTTGCGATGCGAGATTTGGGGACTAGTTGAGAAAAAGCAACCTTTTGTTGTTCAATGACACGATCGAAATCTTGGTCAAGGCTGAGGCCAAAGTCAAGATCCAATGTGAGACTGCGCTTCTTGAAGCTCGAGCGGCGGTCCACGAATTCTTCGTCGTCGTGGATAGTTGGCTCTCCCTGCAGATCCCTTGACAGCCTGTTGCGGTGGCGTTCAGGAATGGCTGGAATGTCGGGCACCTCGCGACTAACTTGGCGCCGGGCTTCCCTCATGGCAATGATGTCAGAGGGTGTGTTGGAAGGTCTGGTCTTCAACTTGGATCCAGATGCCTTGATTGTCGCCTGCCTCTCCGGAATAGCAGGAGATTCCATGGGTAGCTCGTCGAAGATTTCTGATTCAGAATCGGACATGGGTCGATGAATGACAGACTCGGGCGTACCGGGCTCCTCCTCATACTCTTCATCCTCTGGATCACCCCAGCCGGAGCCGTCGTAATCAGGCTTGGAGAGATGCTTCGGGGTCACGGGGCGCTGCATTTCAGCCTGAAGCTCCGTCATCTTTGGCGGGGGCTGAAGCTCCTCGACTTCCTCGGCAGAAGGCTCCGGAGGCGGAGGAAGCATGAACGACTGCAAGCCCTTGGAGAACTCGTTGTCCTTGCCCTCGTCGTGGAATTCGGGGAGGCTGTGCTTGCGATCAGAGGCAGTGTCGACAGGTGCATCGACTATCATCTCTGGCGACGGCTCCTTCTCGACCTCGGGTTCGGGCTGAGGCTGTTCAACAACCTCATCCTGAGGCTCGCTTGTAGGCTCGATATCCTCTTCAACCTTTGTCTCGGGTGTCAGCTCCCTGACTGGGAGGTCAGCCGGAGAGACAGCGCGTTGCTCGGGCGAGCTGAAACCCTTGTCGGACTTGAGCTCCAGGGGTCTTATCTCTGAGGCCAAGTCAAATGTCTGGAAGGGGCTAGCAGCACGAGGTGTGAGGATGTCCTCGTCGACCTGAGTGACCTCGGGCTGGCGAGCCGGTCCGTCAGAGTAATGGCTAGCAGAATCGGCATCGTTCTCGTCAATGTCAGACCGCGCGTAGAAGTCTGTGATTGACTCGGTGTCGACATCAGAGGCCTCATCTCTGTGGATAATGACACTACCCTCGTCGCTAAGCTCGGAGATGTCATCCAGGATGGAGTCTTCAGTTGAAGGAATTGGGACATCCGGGTCAAGGGGCAGGGGCAGACGACGCTCAGGGCTGGGTCGCTCGGGGCTAGAGCTAGGCGCAGGCGAGGAGAAGTAGTCACCTCCTTGGTCATTGGCGCCACCATTGACGCGACGCATGATGGACTCACGGGAGATACGGCTAGGCAACTCGTAGTCCTCGAGGGCAGAAATATCTCCAATGGTATCATCAGCCTCATCTGCATCAGCGGAAAGCATGCTGGACTCGGCTGTCTCAGTATCGGAAGCGGGGCTCTGGATTCTATCGCGCTGAGCACCGCGACGAAGGCGACGCTCTCTCTGCTGCTCGTTGGCAGACTTGTGGTCGTCTGAGAGCATCATAAGCTTCAGTCTCTCTTCGAGAGTCATCTTGCCGTTGCCGATGCTCTGGATCTCGTTCTTGCTGGCAGCTGCCGGGGGGGGCGGTGGCAAGCTACGGTGGGCGCCCACCATTCTCTCTGCTGTCGCGGACAGGCCAGGAGAAGACCGGGAGTCACTGAAGGCGGGCGAACCACGGGCGGGTGAGCCCATGCCGGGAAGAGGAGGCAGGGGGCGGTGATCCGAAGTTGATGAGTCAGATCGAGTGTGTTCTGTGCGGCCGATACGAGGTGGAAGTGCATCTGGCATGGGGCTTCCATCGAAGGGATCCTCCATACGCTCAGCAGACTGTCTCCAATCGTCAGGACCGACGACGGGAGTCTTGTCTGTATCCTCTAGCGACGCATCGAAGCTGTCACCCTCCATATCGTGATCTCCAAAGTGGTAGTGTCCGTCCTCGTCGTCCTCGTCATCCATGGAGTCGAAGCTGCCCTCGCGCGAGTTGGATCCTATGGAAGAAATGTCCGGCGTGGCCATCTCATATTCGTTGATTTGAGGAGGAGCCGCGTCAAAGGTGACGCTCTTGGCGTGGCGATGAAGCGACTTTCCAGAAGGAAGCTCGCGATCGTCGAAAGAAGTGTCGGCTGACCAGGTGCCAGTCTCGGGGTCGAAGCTGCTCTTGAAGTTGCTTCTCGAAAGGGAAGACTTGATAGGGGACCCTTGGTCCTTGCCCGGGCTGCGCGGCGGGTTCGCAGGGTTGATTTGCATTGGTGTAGAACCCTTGGTAGGGCTCGTTGTCGGGCTGAAGATGGGGATGCTCGACCTGCTGCTGTTGTTGCGCTGGTGGCCGATGCCTCTGTTCAGAGAATCAGAAGATCGTAGGCCATTGATGATTGTTGTCGTTCCGTCATATGAGGGTCCGGAATGCTTAGCGAGAGGACGCTCAATTTGGGGGACTCTTGTGGGATCGTATTCCTGCTTCTGCTCGAGAGCGAGAATGTTGCTGTTCTTGACTCGAGAGGCTCTTTGGAGACGTTCGATGGAAGTGCGTCGGGTTGGCGAAGGCGAGCCGTGACGTGCGCCGCCGTATAATCCGCTGTTCTCGGTGCTGATGGAGTCCAGGTTGCGCTTCTGCCAAAACAGTCTGGGAGACGTAGTAGTCTCTAGTGGGGACGACTGGAATGGAGAGGAGTCGGTGTTGAGGGTCATTTTCTACACGACAGCTGTTAGTGGAAATTCTAGACGGGGATTGTGTCTCAGACACGGTCCGCTTACCTTGGAGGGCTGCTTGAAGCTCGGTGAGTTCCGCCTGAGGTCTGAAGGAGAGAGCTCGGAAAGGGGGCGAGGGATGCCAGTGCTGGCCTTGGTAGGAGGGGGAGATCCCGGAGTGCTGCTGCCTTTGCTAATGCGCAAAGGATGTACCTGTTGGAAAAGTGAGAGTCAGTCGCGGGCAACGCGATATCATAGCAGCGGCGTATGTCAGAACTTACGGGATCCTCAGAAGACGCCATTTTGTGTGATGTTGTTGTGACTGCGCAAGCGCATTTGGGGGGGAACAATCGCAGTACGTGGTAGTAATGGCGATCAATACTCGAAAGAAAATCCGATGTTAAGCAGACTCTACTGCGGTGCGTTCCGGGGTGATTGCCGCGAGGTTCAGAGCAGATTCGCAAAGATACACAAAGGGGAAAATGCGGTAGAAAGACTTTTGTCTGCTAGAATGAATGTTTGACTTTTTTCTCCTTGGGTGGCTCTCGGGGATGTGTGCTGTCAGATGCCGATTCGGGTCATAATCGAAGGGTAATTCGGTATGGGTTGTTGATGACTGGAATGGGCAGAGCCGAAGTATGGGGATGCTGGGTGATGAAGCTGAAGGGGGGAGGGAACAGCGCAAAACGACAGCAACACACACGAAAAAAAATCAAAAAAGGGCGATGCCGCCAAAGTGCAGCAACAGGTAATGGGATAGCGTTCCTGACGGCGGTTGTGGTGAGAAACAACAAGAGGGTGAACGGGACGTTGTGTTGTGATGCATCGATGTGGTCGAGTGTTGTTTAAGGGCAGCGGGCGGTATGAGTTGACGTTGAGGCGGGGACTCGATGATTGGTGCGCGGAGGGGAAGAAGTAAACAAACAAGGAAGGCAGCTCTTTGTCGGTGGCGTTGCTCCTGGCGACCTTGTGTTTAGTGTGATTTTTGGCGTGACAGGGGTCGATAAAAGACCGGGTACGTACCTTTGACGGGAGAGTTGGGACGAGGGGTTGTTGGCAAGCCGCAGGCGGCAGCAGGCTTTTCGAAGCCCAGCATCCAGCCAGCCATCCACTCCATCCACCAATCCAGCCAGCATCCAGCATCCAGCATGGCAATAAATGGGAAAATGGACCACTGGGGAGAGGGGAACGGCCGACAACCGGGGTGGCTTTGGGCGGGTGTCTGCTGCACGTGCCCACTCTTTCTGTGACACTGCTCAGCGGTTTACGATGCAATCTCAAGACGTATTCAAGCGAGCAATAGCCAATGGCTGTTCATGGTCTATGCCTTTGATGCCGAAGACGACGAGTTACTGTGGACTACGGATACCTAGGGAACAAGATGCCTACTCTAGAATTATCTTTCCAGTCTTGATCGTCAGCCACTACTACGGCGTCTGCAGGGAGAGAGACTAAAGGCAAGCTAGAAAAGCAAGTATCCGAGGCGAAAGAGGGGAGCCACGAGCAAGAAAAGGAAGGATAAAAGAAGAGAGGAGAATAATATTCATCAACAACAACTTGATTTTCGTTTCTGTGCGCGCAAGGACTGTACAGTACTGCATGTACGGAGTAGTAGTGTGTGCTGCTTATTGCCCGAAACCATCAGGCTTACTCTCCATCTCATGCTTGTCCGGCTTCCCCCTCGTCAATGTTGTTGTTGAACCATGATAATTCTCCGGGCCAACAGCAGCTGAGGACATGGGTTCTTGCAGCTGTTGCAGTCCATGGTCAAGTCATCGTGATGGCTTACTTACCCAATACTCCATACCAAACGTCAGAGAAGTCGAGACCTTGCCCTTGACCTAGACCTGGGAAGCCCACGCTTGGTTCCCGCATGTCGTGCTTCTCTCCATCACATCGCATCGCACAATCCCATCAGATGGTGGGTTGAGTGGGCTCTGAGCATTTTAGCCCGTCGGCTGGATATCGATATGGAGCTCGTTGTTGCTTTAGACGTTCCCCCTCTGCCCGTGCTCGCCAGGGGTGGGCTGTGTTATGATTTCTCGTCATCCAATGTCACTCTGGGTTACCAACACAACAGACGGAAGAGAAGAGAAAGAAAGCTGTTGTTGTTATCGAGCTTGCGGCCTGTACTCGACTTTTTTGGCTGCCATTGCTTGTCCATGCATCTGGCCATGGTTTTTTTCTCCCCATTGTTATTGTTGTTTTGGTGTGTGCTCCTCTTTCTCGATTGCTGATTCGTCTGTATTGATTCGTATCTAGTTACTCGAGTCTACAAGTACTTTGCATGTGTGCGTGTATAAAAAAACGAGAAAGATCGTCCGCCGCGCCCGGACTTTGCTCCTAAGAGCTGCACCGTCTTGTCCCCGCCCCCGCCGGCGCAAAGCCATTTTTTGCGAGAATGCCGTCCCATCGTGCAGCGCAATTGACTTCCTGGTGGTCCTGCCTGTCAAGTGTGATCCACGTATCCTCCCCCTCCAGGCTTCTCCTCCTCCTCCTCCTTCCTCCTCCTCATCGTCCGATCGAGTCCACAAGAGCCAGGAGCACCTGCTGGCCCCCAAACACTGCGCAATATCCTAGCCCCTCCCTCCTCTTCAGCCCCAAGAGAGGAGCCACGATGAGGAGGAGCGACAGACGAAAGAGGGGCCAAACAACAACAGACTTTCCGATCCGACGCACACCATCGTGCAGGGCACGCAGGGCATCTCTTCATCATGTACGATTCGATGCAATGTACGTACATATGTACGTAAGTTTATCTCGCAAGAAAAGCCGCGCCCCCCGGGTCCCATCGGCACGCGAGAGCGAGGAAAACCTACCTATTCGTACCTGCAAAACTAGAGAGGAAAGAGGAGACGTTGGGACTAGTGCCTGTCTGCGCCGACTTCGTGCGTTTTACACCAGCTCCATGAGTCCATTATGCGTGTTTTGTTTCTTTGTACTCGCTTCTTCTAGCGCATCTGCCCACCGTTGCTTCGTCGCACTGGCTGAAACAACATCGCCGCTCGCCTCCAGCTAAGTTGCACGGCCGCCGCGCCGGATGTGACGCCTGTCATCCAGGAACAAGTGTTGGTTTGGTTGTTGATTGTGGGCATTCGACCTTTTTTTTTTTCGACGATTACTGAGATTTATTCCACTCAACACACTCCTCCAACTTGACCCCGTTGCCGCCGAAACAGTCCAGCGCGCTACCAATCGTCAGGTCTACCTTGCCCTTGCTCAGCTTCTTCACCATTTCCAGATCCTCCAGGTTCCTGCCGCCGCCGGCGTACGTCACGGGCAGACTGCACCACTCGGCCAGTCTCTCCACCAGCTTCTCGTCGATGCCCTTTTGCAGACCCTCGTTGTCTGCTGCGTGGATGAGGAACTCTGAACAATAGGGCTCCAGCTGCTTGATGGATTCTGCAACACACAGTCAGTCAGCCAGCCATGTGACATCCGCGCACTTCGTGTATATCAAACTGTGCCGCTAGAAACATACCTTGATTGACCTCCATGTCTGTGATCGTCTGCCACTTGTTCATGGCCACAAACCACCTGTCATCTCCGCGCCGGCGGCAGCTTAGGTCAATGACAAGCTTGTCCCTATCGCCTCCCAACGCCTGCAGCACCGCATCCAGCCTCTGCTGACTGAACTGCCCCTCGGGGAAGAGGTAGGACGTGATGATGACCTTCTCCGCGCCGGCGTCAACCCACTCCTTTGCGTTCGTGTCGTTGATGCCTCCTCCGACCTGCAACCCGCCGGGCCACGCCTTTAGCGACTCCCGCGCGGCCTCGGTGTTGCCGGGCCCCAGCATGATGACATGGGCGCCCGTGAGCTCATTGTCTTTGTACAGCCGCGCAAAGTGCGCCGGCGGGTGTGTCGAGACAAAGTTGGTCTTGAGCTCGGCTGTTGTGCTGTCGAGGGTGCCGCCGACGATCTGCTTCACCTGGCCGGCGTGCAGGTCTATACAGGGGCGAAAGCGTGTCATTTTTGTATGTGTGTTGGTGTATACTCTGGTGGTTTGAAGAAGTTCTATCAACTCGAGTTCCACGGCTGCGTCACTGCTTGACCCCTCCTGTTCAATTTTGTGTGGATGGTGGGGTTGCGATGTCGGTGCAAGGCTAACTGCCGTTCTCTTGTTGTGAGGTTTCAGTGTAGTTGACACAACTCAAATCCAGTCAATTGAAATGGCCCGTTCGATCGCCTGTTTCTTGAAACCGGACTTGCAATTTACATCTCATTACAATGTCATTTCCTCAATCGGCGAGGGAAAATTCGCATGAACGTCCACAGGATATGTTAAGCCGATACTTCAGTCCCGTCTTAGCCCAAATTCAATCCCAAACTCAAGCCTTAGAGGTAATACAGGAAGAACAGAAAACCATTCCTTTCCTGAAACTGAAACAGCGCATCAGACTTTGACGATGATGACAGCTTTTCCGAGATCTTTTCGATGTTACGCGAAGCCCTCTGTATCTGGACCAACTGGATTTCGCTGCGGAGGCGACACTAGCGATACTAGAGTTCTCACCCGGCGGCTATCTTCAACAAATCCGGCTGCGTGTTCTAGTGGTTATGATTCCTCGTTCACAATGTGAACACTTGAACTCCGAGGAGGTCGCAGGTTCGAACCCTGCCGCGGTCACAGTAACTTAAGCTTTTGCTTTTTTGGGTGGCTTCCATGTCTATCTTGCTAATTCGAATCCTTTCAATCGGTTTGGCAAGTGTAATAAATGCCTACTGTCGCAGCCTGATGAGAATGGGCGTGCATGCAAAGCATACTTATCACAAGACTATGCGTCAACGTCGCCCTGGCACCACGACTGGTCGTGAACTTGATTTGTGGCCTTATAGGCCAAACGACTTCAGCTGCTGCACCCTAAAATAACCATCAGACAACTCGAAGCAATTGTGCCGTCTTGTTGCAGCCTGCGGTCATCAACTCTTTGGCGAGGCCCAATCACATTTCGGTGTTGTCATCCTACAACATCATACATTCAAGACCTGCAGGACTGGAGATGGATGGAAGCAACAGGCGGCCAATGAAAGCAAAGCCCAGATTTCCATCCCCGATACTCGTGGTTTGTCTGGTCGAGGCATGGAAAATGGGCTATGCCTGCTGTGTCGCCAGAAATGCATCGCCATGCTGACAGCGTTCCGTCTCTGAACCGCTACATACTTGTATTTCCACTATAGCTATACTCCTTCGCCTCGAGAGGAGTGTTTATATAGCCATATCAGCTTGCGATTAGACGAAGAACCGATACCTGCGAATGTGACACCTCTCTCGTCTCTGCTGAAACTCTTCGCATCACCCGC